TTTCCATTTCTCGACATAATGTGTTCTTTGGTCTTCCTCTTTTCCTTTGGCCTTGAGGGTTCATGTAAGAGCTTGTCTTGTGACGCAGTTGGGTGCTTTCCTCAATGTGTGTCCTATTCACTCCCAGCGCTTTTTCCTCCACAGGGATCTGGTTTGTTCTCTATCACAGTATGTTGTTGCTAATAGTGTCCGGCCAACGGATCTGAAGTATTTTGCGTAGACAACTGTTAATAAACACCTGTATTTTCTGGATGATGGCTTCCGTAGTTCTCCAGGTTTCCGCCCCATATAGTAGAACTGTCTTGACATTTGTATCGAAAATCCTGACCTTGGTGTCGGTTGACAGTTGCTTTGAGTTCCAGATGTTCTTCAGTTGTAAATATGCTGCTCTTGCTTTACCGATCCGCGCCCTGACATTTGCATCAGATCCACCGTGTTCGTCAATGATGCTGCCCAGATATGTAAAGGCTTTTACATCTTCCAAATCGTCTCCGTCAATTTTGATTGGATTGGTACGTGCTGTGTATTATCGGAGAATCTTGCTTTTCCCTTTGTGTATATTGAGACCTACTGCTGCTGCTACACTGGTCGTCTTCTGCATTTGTTGTTGCGTTTGGGATAGAAGGGTCAGATCATCTGCGAAGTTTAGATCGTCTAACTGCATCCTAGATGTCCAATGTATCCCGCGTTTCCCTTCAGATGTTGACGTCTTCATGATCCAGTCGATCACCAGGTGAAACAGAAAGGGTGAGAGTAAACAACCTTGCCTAATACCGGTCTTCACTTCGAACGACTTTGTCAACTGTCCTCCATGCACGATTTTGCAGTGTAATCCATCATCATATGACTATTTTCTGAAGCACGCCGTAGTGTCGAAGAAGCTTCCATAGTGTTGTTCTGTCCACGCGGTTTTTTCGTAGTCAATGAAGTTAATGTAGAGTGATGAATTCCATTCAATTGATTGTTCCACATTGATCCGTAGAGTTGCGATTTGGTCTGTACACGATCTATCCTTACGGAATCCTGCCTGTTGGTCACGAAGTTGGGCATCTACGCAGTCATTCATCCTGTTTAGCAATACCCTGTTGAAGACTTTTCCCGGTATTGAGCCAAGAGTGATACCCCTGTAGTTCTCCCAGCTGCTGAGATTGCCTTTCTTTGGAATCTTGATCAGAAGTCCTTGTTTCCAGTCTGTTGGTACTTGTTCTTCATCTCGAATCTTGCTTAAGAGAATGTGGAGTATCCTTGCAGTTACCGCTACGTCTGCTTTTAGTGCCTCTGCTGGAATGTTGTCTGGTCCTGCTTCTTTGCCACTCTTGATTTGCCTGGTCGCCATGCTTATCTCTTCAATTGTTGATGGGCCAACATCGATTGGGAGGTCCGTCGGTGCTGCTTTGGTTCAGTGGGGTTGGTCGATTCAAGAGTACTTTGAAGTGTTTTACCCACCTGTTTCGTTACTCTTCAATGTTGGTGATTACCTCGCCTTCCTTGCTTTTCACTGGTCGTTCAGGTTTGCGGCGATTTCCAGAGAGTTTCTTTGTTATGTCATACAGTTGTCTCATGTTTCCTTCTCTTGCAGCCTTTTCCGCCGTCGTTGCTAAATCTTCCACATATTTATGTTTGTCGGTTCTGATGCTCCGCTTCACTTGTTTGTTTACTTGTGTATTCAGCTTGTGCCTTGGCTTTTTCTGCTCTTGTTCGACTGGTATTGATTGCTGTTTTCCTGTTCCTCCTCTCTTGAATCTTATCCAGTGTATCAACAGTGATCCATTCCTTGTGATGGTGCTTCTTGTGGCCCAGGACATCATGACATATTGAAGTGATTGCCTCTTTGATCCCCTTCCAGTTGCTCTCCATAGTAATTCCATCTCCAATGAGTAGATCGTGAAAGGCCTGGAACTTGCTGCTGAGGACTATCTCGAATTCGTTGGGTTTGTTAGTATCCTGAAGAAAGGCCGTATTGAACTTTTGTGATGTTGTCCGCCCCGTTGTGCAGTGCTTCTTGAGTTTCAATTTCATCTTGGCGACCAGCAAGTGATGATCTGATGCTATATCGGCTCCTCTCTTGGTTATCACGTCTTCCATCGTCCTCCTGAACGTTTTGTTGATGCAAATATGGTCGATTTCATTTTGCGTGGTGTGATCCCGTGAAGTCCATGTGGTTTTGTGAATGCGTTTATGTGGGAATATGGTGCCGCCTATGACCAGTTTATTGAAGGCACATAGGTTTGCAAATCTCTCACCATTTTCGTTTCTTTCTCCCAGTCCATGTCGTCCCATGATATCTTCATATCCAGTGTTGTCCATTCCAACCTTGGCATTGAAATCTTCCATCAGAATGGTCAGGTCCTTTGTTGGGCACTTCTCGATGATTGACTGCAGCCTATCGTAGAATTGACCTTTAGCGTCTTCACTGTAATCGTTGGTAGGCGCATTTATTTATTTATTTGAACACACAAATATTGGTACAAGAGAGCGCCAATATATATGCGCCACGCAAAACAATACAAATTCGAAGAGAGATAGAAAAAAAAACTAAGGAGCACGAAAGAAAAAGAGAACGATAACAAAGAGATTGGTGTAAGGTAGTGTGGTAGTAACGAGGGAACAGAAAGGTACAATCAGAAGAAATCTTTCAAGTAAGGAAGACAACCACTTTTTATGAATAAAGTAAAAGGTTACAGCAGGATCGCCACTGGCTTCTGTTCTGAACCATATCTAATAACGTCTCTAGCCACTGTGTAGCACCATCTCTCAGACCCCAACCAGGGAGTCGTGAAGGACCGACAGAAGCCAGTCCTTTGCAGCTTTCTTTCATACCACGACACCATGTCGTGCACTGACCACCTCTCCGCTTTTTCTAACCAGTCCCAGAGTCGGCAAATAATGCACGACGTGGAATTCTCTGGGACGACATTCGTAGAACATGTCCAAGCCACCGAAGTCGGCGTTTCAAGATGGTGACACCAATTGAATTATCATCTCTGTGCCCAAACACACGATGCCGAACCTCTGCATTACTGACATGGTGTTGCCACTGAATGTCAGCAATCCTTCGGAGACAGCGATGATCGAACACAGAGAGTCGTCTAACGTCCTCAACTCGGAGAGGCCAGGTTTCACAAGCATAGAGCAAAACTGCTCTCACCGATGCGTTGTAGATCCGACCTTTTACAGCCAGATTAACATCACGAAAGCGCCAAAGGTGGCCCAGATTGGCATAAACCGCTCTGGCTTTCACTATACGTGCATTGATCTCATCACTCACACACCCACCAGCACTTATGCAGCTACCCAGATACACGAACTTCTCGACTACGTCTATCTGCTCACCATCCAGGGTGAGTACAGGATTGGAATCCTGCCAGTCTTGTAGAAGTACTTTGCACTTCGAAGGTGCAAAGCACATACCGTACCTACGGACACTGATTGCCAACTGATTAAGTGCGGATTGCATGCCTTGGGCATTATCGCACAGTAAGACAATATCGTCCGCATACTCAAGGTCGAGAAGTCTTTTTTCAGGCAACAGATCCACACCACCATTACTTACATTCATCAGAGCTGTTTCCAGAATGTCATCGATGGTAAAGTTGAAGAGGAATGGTGAGATTGGGCAACCCTGTCTAACCCCACTGCTCGAATGGAACAATGGAGAGAGGTGGTTGTATGCCCTCACTCTGCCTGAGGTGTTTTTATATAGGGCTTTTAAGATGTTAATAAACTTTTCAGGCACACCCTTCTTCAATAGACAATCCCAGAGAACAGTCCTATCCAACGAATCGAAGGCAGCCCTGATGTCAAGAAACACTACGATTGTTGGCCTTTGATAAGTATGGCGATGTTCTAACATTTGGCGGAGGGTGAAGATATGATCAATACATCCTCGACCAGAACGAAACCCAGTCTGCTCCTCGCAAGTCAATCTTTCTCGGGTTTTGAACAACCTACGAAGTATGACGGAAGCCAATAGCTTGGACGCAATCGGAAGTAGACTTATCCCCCGATAGTTGTTGCAGGAACGATGTGAATCCTTTTTAAAGATAGGGACAACTATCGACTCATTCCATGACGTTGGTACACTCTCTAATTCCCAAACCTTTGTAAACAACGTCGTCAATTCCTTAGTCAAAAAAGGTAGGCGCATAGCATTGGATGATGTTCATTGTAATGTCCTCTTTCTTTGTTTTGAAGGAGGCTTTGATGATCCTTGGTCCATGAGATTCCCATCCCATAAGTGCATTTTGTGCTTGTTTGGACATCATCAATGCAACTCCTTGTGTATGTGGGGCATTTTCTTCTTCATGGCCGGAGTATAACAGAAGCTCTCCTGAAGTTAGTCGTTGTTGTTCAACTTGCGTGCAATGTGTTTCACTGATCACAAGTACCTCTAGGTTGTATCTTCTCATTTCTGCAGCAATTTGGAAGGTTATCCCGGTGTCACACATTGTACGAACATTCCATGTACCTAAATAAATGGTTTTTCTGGTTGTTAGAAGGGGCATCGGCCTCGTAACTTCCGAAGAAATTCGGCTTTCATCATGAGGCGTCATAGTTCTTTTAAATGAAAACCTTCTGACTCAAAGCGCAGATTTTAAAAGGTTTGAATAAATTTTTCTGGTTAGCGTTTTTTATCGAGTTAGTTTTCTACGGGATGGGGACGCTAAACCCATGCCCAACCCTCCTCCTTTATCCGGGCTTGGGACCGTCAGTAGCCCTCGGAGGGACTCCAGGCGGATTTAGTACGTTATGTTAGCGAGTACAAATTTCTTATTTTGGATTTGCGGAATAATCTCAATGTACTTTCAAAGTAGAACATCCTTAAAACGACGGCAGTGACTCACTTGGATTTTACTCTCGACCTTCCTCTAATATTTAAGTTCAGTATTGTTCCATAATTTTCATCTTTTGACATCACTTTTCACTATATTTTTCATCTAAGTTAATAGTGTTTGCTATACTTTGCTTATTGTTGATGTTTCTTCAATATGTTGATTTAGGGCGTGACGACTTTGACCGACACACATTTGGCCAGGGCATAATTTATAGGTGAGTAACTGACCTAGTGATGAACCTGAAGCAGGTTTCAGTTGATTGTCCTTAACTACCAGTTTTTCCTTTGACCGTGATTTAGGCTTAATTGAGATGGACCTAACTAAGCCTAAAACTTGTCGAATTTCTCCATGTGTCATGGTCGTGCGCGCTTGTTAATCAATATCCTAGCTAGTCAATACTTAAGTTGAAATTCCTGTTACTAAATATTGATTGGTGAAGTTTACTGCATTCATAATGGTTATTTTGGCAGGAGCATGAAATTAAGAAGTATTAGGTCCAAATGCCATTCCGGCTTCGCTTTTAGCTGTCGGATGGTATCTCTAACCCTCACTCAAAATTGTGTAAACTCTTGTCCCTAAATGGACCACGTTTATAAGCAACATATAAAAAATAATTTGTAATTCAATATTCATGTGCTAAGAATTCCATATTGTACCAAACATGCAATGTTGAATCGAGCCACTATCATTATTATTATTCGGAACCTATATCTATGCGCACTTATGATCACACATAAGTTGTTTACACAATATATTAAGAGATGGTTCTACCTCATTATCTTTTTCTCGTATTTCTGTTTAGTTACTGCAAACCAGTTATTATGACAGACATCACAACAGAGCCTCTCACAGAAGCACACCATTTTAAGCCTTCACATTAAACAGTATGGAAGAAAAAGTTATATTTATATACTGTCTTTTCTCCCAGTACGTAGATGTGGCCGCTTATTCTTCAGTTCATACGTACCAATGTTCGATATGTGGCGTTGCCATTTGCTGTCATTGTTGGTTCCATTGGATTCAAAGCAGAAAGTTGGTTTCGTAGTCAAGAAGCGATATCAAGTTCAATGCATAATCCTAAACAAACCACCTCAGAAGCCCGCCGAAAACGCCAATTAACTAAGGATTTAGATATTGCTTTAAATGATTTGTCTGTTAACTCTGAGAGTGAACTTCGCTATTATAATGATCCTATTTTTAATAAAAACAAGTGAATGAGAAACTGTTTTGCTCTTACGTCACCTTTTCTGGAAAAGTTCAATAGTACTTACTTGCCATTAATATGACATCTTTATTGTCATAATTATTGTTTTTCCATGGTAGAGCGATCTATAACGTCTACTTCCTCAAAGACTACAATAAAAAATAATTCTTTTCGATCAATCAAACTATCATCAAAATTCAGTGGATAAATGAACTTGATAGTAAACTCCTATGATTGTTTCTTATTGCTGATACGTTGATTTTATATCAGATTAAGAATTTTGATTGAACACAATTGTATGAAAGTGTAATCAATTAAATAACCTAAATTCAATTCGCAATTAGTTTGTCCTTAAAATTATCATTTTAAATGAATATGAATTAATTCAAATTTTCATTTACTAAATGAAATTGACTTGTACATTAATTGAAGTATGGGCTGTAATATTTATTTTAATTGTACAATTGGAGGACATTATTATTCTATTACATTGATGTGACTCATTACAATACGACACGCAATAGTAGTTAGTTTATTTGTGCATTCCGCCTAATGACTATAGTATATTTAATTATTATACTAATCAAATTGCTATTTTTACGTTTAGAAACAGTCAGACAGTTACGACGTAGGACCAGGCACATATATGCATCGGTCCAAGTTGCCACACTTTATTAGCACAGCAAGATGAACACGGGATTCATAGGAGTAGTTAATGGTGGTAATATATAAAAGAAAAATTGCATGTAAGGATATAATATAGGAGGAAAGATTTAGTAAGTAGAAAGAAAGATATGAAGCGATAAACTTTAAAGCCAATTTGTCCTTATTCTGACTATAGCTTAATTCACATAGACTCTGGGGTAGCCAGTATCGCGTTTACAGTTCTAGTAGAATATCTTTAGGATAAATGAAATTCTACAAAGTTTCGACCAGTAATTCATTAGAAATATATACGTTGAGTGCTGTTAAATGTCTACGGAGAATCATAAAACTGGTCAGATTCCTGAATTGTCTCCCCACTATTCAGAAACTCATAGTGATAACCAGTTTGTAGGAAATAGCTACCAAATGGATTCCTTGTTATCATTAGCTGAGGTACGCTTAGCTCAGCCAGAAAGAGAAATTGGGTTGAAAACTACGCCAAAGCCATCAGGACAAAATGATTTGAGCACGTGGAATGAAAGCTTAACTTCTACAAAAGTGAGGGTTGGTATTTATTATTTATTTAGACACAGAGATTTGGGTACAAGGGGGAACAAGATATATATGCGCCACACAATAACAATGAGAGCGGGAAGAGTAAAAGAATGTAAGGTGTGTATAAGAGAGAAGAAAAATAGAACAATAACGACCACAGATCAGTGCATGGTAGTGTTATAATAATAATGGAGAGAACGGGAAGTTACAACCAGAAAGAAATATTTCAGTTAAGGAAGAAGCAACCAATTTTTATGAAGAAAGTAAAAGAAGGTTACAGTTTCTATTCTGGGTCATATCTGATAGCGTCTCTAGCCACTGTGTTGCACCATCTATCGGACCCCAGCCAGGGAGTCGAGAAGGAACAACAGAAGCCAGCCCTTTGCAACTTTTTTCATACCACCACATCATGTCATACACTGACCACCTGTCAGCTTCGTTGGCAAATAATGCACGACGAGGAATCCTCTGCGACGACATTCGTAGAACATGTCCAATCCACCGAAATCGATGTTTCAAGATCGTGATACCAATTGGATTATCGTCTCTGTACCCCTCTCGAAGTGCTCGCACGGCCACGCGTATACAACCTCTGCCAGGGGACTCACTCACTTCTTTCTCGCACCACGAGTGTTGTTTACGAAATTGAGAGAACGGAAAGCGGGTGTCCGGCGCTTCAACCTGGTCGATGGACACGGCGAGTTCATCTAGGGGGTTAGGAAACCTGATTCTAAACCAATGGTGCACACGGGCTCCAGTATCCTGAGGGAACAAATGGCGTATAAGGTAACTGTTGGTCACATGCTACCATGGGACTGCATTTCCTTACGTAGCTCCACTGTCTTGTGTCTCAGACCTTTAGGTCAAAGGCTCGGGGTGTGGCCCACCAGGAAACCACCTGCTTCGATCTGGGCACCCGGGCAGTATCATAGCCCTCAAACAATTAAAATGAAATGACAATGATTATTGGATATACTGCTCTCATTCCAATTAAAATTCAAACAACCCATTTGATAACATTCAATTTTATTTTTTTGCACTACCTCACTTATTTACCCTCTTCTACTCTCACATTGCGTTTCCTTACTTTCCAACTTACACAACAGCTCGCTTATGGTGGAAACTCGGTCCTACCTAAACGATCTCGTGTCACTGACTGTTCGAAAATTGAATGCTGCCAAAGAATACGAATACGGAGACAGTTTTTCCTGAAACCACGTGCACCATTCAAGAGGGTTAATGAAGTTGTTCAGAACGGAGATGAAAGCTTTTCAACCTGTCTAAGGGAAATGAGTAACATCCAGGGTATTCATCTGGACTGAAAATATCATTATTTCATTTCCCGGTTAACGTTAGACATCGATCGTACATTTGTTGATAAAAAGCATCAAATAATGGTTATCTGTAGTAATATTCTAACCGCATTTGTTTCTAGTGTTAAGGTTAATTTAGTGTGTATTCATTTTATTTAAAAGAATCTCTAACAACTGAATTTAATTTAGTACATTCCCTTGATTCACATCTAACTGCTTACACTTAATTCATGCCCTCTACTGTTTGAACAAGCCGAAGTCATTTTTTGTGGTGAATTTCAGCCCAAAATACATCCAGTCATAAGCTACGTTTGAGATAGTGATGTCAGACTCGTTCAAAAAAGCTAATATGTGATGTTACTTGGTGTCTGATCTTGATACTAATTTTCCTGTTTTCTAAAACAACCTGCAGTTGTTTCTCTGACATATGTATCATGATAACTTATTTTACTAGTCCATGTATTGTTCAACAATATCTTTTTAAACATATTCCAAAAGGCTTTTGGTCAAGACGTATATAAGGACGTTTAGTTCAATTTCTAGACATACCTTGGGCTCAGTACATCGAGTGAACAACACAAACTTCCAAAGTTACTAGTCAACACTGGCTCTAATCTTAGGAATCGTGCGAAAGCTATCAATATAAAGCACCAAAAACCTGATTTATATACTGAGAAGGAAACTGTTGTCTTCTTCCTTTACCCTAATAACATAACTCCTTTCACGTATTTCAGTAATTAACTGATTATTTTTTTAGTCTGCTTATGACAACCACTTATTTCTAGTCATTTTGTCTTCGGTACCGTCATTATTCTAGGATCATCTGAGTACACTATCTAATAATATTTTACTCAGTTTCCTGACTTTATTAGGATCTTCGCTACACGCTAATGCGCTCACACTAATTTCTGACCAGATTCATTTCTTTACATATATAATAACTAACTCTGTAATTTGGATTATGAAGCATTTCACGTAGTAAATCGCTGATGACAGCTCTTTATTTTGTAAGTACATATAAGATACCCATGCCCATAGCTGTTGTTGAAACTGATTTCTGATTACACAGTCTCAGATTATATTAACCACTAAATAGTATTATATTCTCAATTTGGATATTGTAGATAAGCTTAAATACAATGTATTGTTACTAGAGTAAATACCATCAAGCTAATATATGCCCAAAGTTGCCGGATAATAAAAAATAGGCTGGCAAATAAACGAACAGCGGGTCGACTTTAATTAACACTATCAGGCAACGATAGTATAACGCAGTTAGCAAAACATTTTATGTAAAAACAATGAGAAATACTTACTACAATGTCATCTAATCGGGTAACGAAGATGGTTTCATCGGAGTCAGTATGAATAAGTACAACAATACATCAGTTACTCTACTAAGGAACCCGTTGAAGTGTTTAAAATAGTTCATCAGACCCCAGTGTAGTAGCAAACTTTTTTAAGAAATAATAGCCAGATTTCTAGAATTTGTGACGGTCGAGAATAATGAATGGTACGGCAAAAAGCGAACCACAACGAAAGTTTTTTGTTTAATAAATAGTCAATACATTTACGACCTGAATAAAAGTCAGTATGCTGCTTAGAAATCAGTCCTTTATAGGTTTTCCACAATCTGAGGAGCATGGCAGAAGCAATTAATGTGGATACGAGGTTTAATGTTGCCAGTGGTTCAAATGAGTCAAAACAGCTTCTGGTAATTGCCAGATATAGCAGCTGTTCCCAACCCGATAGAAAGTCCCGACCACTAGCTTTCTCGGTCGTCACACAAAACTCGCACAATTTCCTTACATAAGTATCCACACTTAACATCAAACTCGTGGTTCGCCAGAGTAGATAGACGGTTCTCAAGCAGCTGTACGGAGCTTGTAGAAACCCGGTGTTTATAGGTGGAACGCTTCGCAAAAGACGTAACTCGCCAGCTGTATGACGACTTAGAAACGCAGTTGTTGTTCATCTACACTTCCTGAACTAGTGGTAGCTAGCATTCAATTTAACTCGCTTTGACACTCGGTTGCAACGGAAACTACAGCCAAATAGTTTAGATCAGTCCATTTAGAACAAGGTATTTTCTGGCCTCTAAAACGCAAGATAATTTTGGCGAAGATCAGTGTTCAGAGAGGTGCTCCAAAAGGAGCGTCAGCCTTGTACACAACTATTCCAGTGGTAGGTGGTCACAATGTGACCAATCTGAGTCCAGTTTTGAGTCACTGAGCGAGGGTGCCAGGTAGTATGTAGGCAATGAATATCCCTGAGAGTGATGCAGGTCAGAGAGAGGCTATTTTGTGTGCGAAGCTGTGAGAGATGGCTACTGTTTTCTGATCTGCTACCAAGGGGTCCCGACCGACTACACAAACGACCATCACCTGTGTTAGACGAATATCATTTCAAATTTAAGTTTTTAATTCACTTGAGCATACAATTTTTCTCTTCCTAGATGGACAGTTTATACCCATTGTGGTGATTTAGTTAAGTATATGGTTTTGGATTTTTGTGTCATATTCTTGATTAGTTTTTATGCTGCGATTCAGCATCAGTCACTCTATCTCTTGGGAAATATTTTACTTCCCAAAATTTTGTGACATGATTTAAAATTACCTGACCTAATCTAATCACAAATTGTTTGTTCCAACTTTTTTTGAAATTACTAGTTTTAAACGACCAAGAAAGCATCATCAACAATATTATAAGCTTTGTGTAAAAGTTACCAATTCCTATGGAATTTTCGCGGAAATACTTCTATGACTTGATTTACACAAATGCAATAAAGAAAACTGCAAAAAACGACTTGCATTTACTGTCACAAAATACTAAAAGTTTTTTTGGAAAAAAGGGAAAACAAAAATAAACTAATTAATATCCCTGAGTTACTGGAAATATTTAGAAACTAGAGTATAAACAAAACAAGATCAAACTCGCGGTCACGACTTTTAGAAATGTGCACTGTTCTTTATATCAACATTCATTCAACTAATCGTCATCGTTCAGCATGGCCACACGAACACTGATGACTGAAGCAAATGCTG